GGCATATAAAAATATATATTTATAAAAAAAATAAACAAATCATTTCAAATATTTTAATTAGATAAATTCTTCTCTTCTTATTGCCTTTTCCAACCATCTTCTCATATTTATATAAAAGGCATTGCACTGTTGACTTTAATTATTTTCAGGGAGATAAAATATAATATTGAGTATCTTCAATAGTCATATCAATATTAGCATTTCTTGTGGATTTGAAATTGGATTTTAACATTGAAAAGAACTCTTCGATTGGGTTCAATTCAGGGGAGTATGGTACTAAAAACTTGTGAGTAATATTTTTTTCTTTTAGTAATTAAAGTGCTGCAGCTGCTGTATAAAATTTTACATTATCTATTTTAAGAATTTTATTTGGATTTACTGCAAAGAATGGTACTAGTTTGTTGTTGATGAAATCAATAATGATTGTGTATTGTATGCGCCGCTTTTGTATTGGAAACATTTAACTCCTAAATTGGAAATTAAACACATGAGGCTAACATTCTGTCCTTTATTTGCAGGAACTGTCAATTATGCTTTTTTTTCTTTTGGAGAATAGACATATGAGCGCATTGCAAGTTTATTGAATCTGGTTTCGTCTAAAAAAATCAAATTTGAATAAGCAATTCTAGCAACTTCTGCCGCAAAAATTGATCTCTGATTTATTCTTTCCATAGTGTTTCTTTCTTGAGAAATGATTACTAATCTTTTTCGTCTCAAAAATAATTTCTTAAAATTAAGGGAAACAAATGAGATCAAAATGTTTTTATCATTTTAATCTAAAAATTGCGTTTTAATTAATTTTTGAATTACGGCATTGTTACAGACCACAAAATTAAATAATGTCTGTTCAATGTTTGTATTTATAGAATTTTTAATTTTATACGTTTTTTTCCTTTTTACTGTAGATGACGTGAAGGGTATATTATTATCACTATTTTTTATAACACGATCAACAGCATTTCGAGTTAAATTACAAGCGTTGGATATTTCCGTGATTGAATATTTTTCACAATTTCTCATTGAAATAATCGTATTTTTAGTTTCTTCTGTAATTGTTTTCCGTACTTTTCTTTCCATTGATATTTAAAATATAAGGGTTAAAATTAATTTTATAAATGCACTTATAACTTTGCAAACGCGCACTTATAACTTTGCAAACGTGCACTTATAACTTTGCAAAACCCTGTAACTCAACTAATCATTTGTTTTCCCCATCCAAAATGGTAGCAACTTGCGCTATTGTTATTTTGCATAACCACGTGACTTTCCGACTGCGAGGATATACCACATTTTTTAAAACTAACTAATAAATTAGTCCTTATCTTGATCTGATAAATATATATCTAATATATATCAAGCTATCTAATTGTTTGTAGCTTTTTGGAACACTAGCCATTTTATTAATCATGTAAGCAGAGGCAATTTTAGGGAGGAGGGGGTGAAACACCCCCCATAGAAGATGATTTTCAAGTTATAGTCGGTTTTTTTGACACAATTCAGAAGACAAAATATAGTCGGGTAGTCGTGTATTTGACACAATTCAGTCGGGTAAATTTTAGTTTTGGGGACCTTTATTTTTTTCAGGAACCAGTTGGTACTTTTAATGGATTCATCCCCCCTCCCTCATTTTAATTGTAGAACCGCCTTTGATCCTAAGTACCTTTTCACTAAAGTGACTGCTTAGATTATCATCAATAGAATTTTTAGTTTCGAGAAAATAATTACCAAAGTGACAACAAACCGTCTCAAACCAGCAAGAAAAGCAAACAAAACCAAATAAGTAAATAAAGTCTAGGGTATTTCACCCCTCTTTTAAAAATGCATCGTGCTAGAGCTGTTTTACAAATGCTTTTCTAAAAGAAATTTTTATTTCTTCATCATACTTTAATGCAGTAAACTTTTAGAAACATATCTTTTTTCAACATTAAAAATGAATTTTTCTGAAACACTCAGGTCCATGAAATCAAATGATTAGTTACAAACAGCAATAGCATGTTGTACAACAGTATATTTATAAAATTTGTGGGTTTTTGTAAATATTTGTTAAGTTTTTTCTGGTGTTTTTGAATAAAGTTTTTTAACCTTATTATACAAAATGTCAACTAACATTTTATAAACATCTGACGCTTTTTTGTATGTTAATAGTTGTTTTTTGATATAAAATTTTTTAAACAATAAATATTTTGGCGTTCAGCGTAACTAACATGTCGCTTGACATCAGAGTGTTTAAAAACTGTCAGATATATATGTATATATTCGAAATTTTTCTCTCCTTTCATTGTTGAAAAGAAACGTTTTCCTTAACAATAAGTAGCTAAGATGCTCAATTAAATCCGAAATACAATGCATACATTTAGGAAAGTAACAGTTTAGTTTTTTAAATGCCATATTACAACATTTTTTCCTCTGATTTTGCTTGGTTTGTATCCGTTTTTAGCAATTCAAACAACATGATCATCTCATCAGTGAAATCATGTTCCAAATCACAATGGTAGTTTTGTACAAGATGAACTGACTTTGCATAAAAATGTTTCATATCTGACACATTAATGACTTTTGTCAGGAAACCGAATCTGACAATATCTGATATGCCTTGCTCTTTCTTTCTATCTCCTGTAGGAGCCTAATAACAATAACAAGAAAGTTTGTGTTTTAAATTGTTCTTAGGATTTCAAAACTGCATCTGTGTCACAGACTTCACCTTCATCAAAGGCATCTTGTACGCTTTATCATTCTAGTTTTTCTGAAGCCACTCGAAACTTCGTACTTTTAAATTTCTTCTTTTTTTTTTTTTTTTTTTTATAATATCGCAATGTAGTTCAATGAATAAAAACACCCAAAACTTTGCCGTATTTCATTGTTATTACTTTATAATATTTCTATACTTTTAGCAAATTTGTTGACTATACGACATCCTACGTAGAATTTCAAAAGATGTTCTGATCCGCTTTACAAATACTTTAACATCTTACTAGTTTATCTTCACGAATATCACGAATTTCCTATTTATTTAACAAAAAATATTACAAAACTTCTGAAGAAAGAGGGATCTGTAAAAAAAAAAAAAAAACCCTATATTTTTCAAAAATTTGTTTTGATGGTGTTCATCTTTATCACAATAACACTTTAATTGTAACCTGAAATTTTCAAACCATCAATACTATTAAATCAAATATAAAAGCAGAAATGATTAAAAATAGAAAACTAAGGGACGGGAAGGGGTAATGCATTCCCCCTCCCCCATTCCCTTTTTTATATCCGTTAAGATTAATTTACACATGGTTTGTATCCAATTTTATTTTTTCAATTATAACATAAAGTTGAGATATTTGTCCAAGATAACCTTTTTGTTTTTAATAAAATGCATATCTAGTTATGACGTTAATTAGTTTTATTTCCTTGTTTCCTTAAATCGATTCTTACTCGATTTAAGCGAATGTTAATCGCATTAAAGATAATAAAATTTTTTAAAATGGATTTAAAAATAAACAAATATTTTTTTCTGATGGAAAATGAATTGTTTGGCAGTCCTATTTACATTTTTTTGAATAATCATCGACGGAACATTGTACATTAAACTGCACTAAAAGTTAACAATTATAAGTTACTATATAATTATATTTACGTTTACAAATTGGTATATTATAAAACTTGTATTTTTTATTATTTTTAATAAGCGTATTTTTTTATTCTTTAATTTATTTTATTTTTTAATTTATTAAATATTCTTTAAATTTATTAAAAAAATGTAATGAATTTTTTATATTTGATAAACTTTTAATGAATAAAAATTTACACGAGGTTTTTGCAATTTAAAGAATATTCTTATTAAATTTAACAACCTCTTAGTACAAAGGCCAAATCTTCAAGAATTACACTAGGTCTTTAAATTTCAGAGCTTAAATAACTTTAAGTTAAATCATAGATTAATTGAATTTTTCAGAAATTTAAAAGTTTTTTATGAATAATTTTAAAAAGTTGCAAAAACCACTAAAATGACTCAGCTCTGAACAGTGAGAAGTTGAGTTAATATTTTGTAGTGTAATAATTTATGACATTTAAATAAAGTCAATGAAGGTTGTTGATGATGTCTAACAGTTAAAAAAAGTTGATGATCAGATGGATGCATAGTGTAACTAAGAAGTGATGATTTAAGACAGATTAAGAGCAGTGAATGTTACTTAACAACGAGATGCGAAAGGAAGATTAATGCAGTTTAGTAAACAAAAAGATGGTTGAGTATCAACTTGTAAAGTGGGATTAGTTTCAGGAGAAAAATAATAAAATAGAATTAGGAAAACTTAGTAAGAGTGAGTTACAGATGACACGACAAATCTTTAGTTAAAGAAAAAAGATATTTAGGATTATGTGTAATTGAAAAACTTCATAATCAGAAAAAACATGTGCAAAATCAAGAATGCTATAATGGCCAAAAATTGAATAAAAACTAGTTTTTATGATTTGCCTAAGGTTTTAAAACTATTTTCACAAATACTAAACGAGTATGTTTAGTAGTTGCAATACTATTAAATTAACTACTAAAATTTAATTCTTTCAAAAAAAAAACAACAACTAACAAACAAAAAAAAAAACAAAGAGTATTCTGGTCAGTCTGGTTAAAGAAATTATAGACTTCACATTGTTATTTTTATTATCCATGTTTTGAATAATGCTATGAAAAACCATTTTCTGCAAGCATATTACATATATTGCTTTCTTGCATAGTTTTATATACACAACATTATTAGATAATTAAATTTGTTTGTTAACTTTGGTGATGCATCTAAAATGCTTTATGTTTCATGATCAGTTTGCATTTACCTAAAAAAGTCATTAATATTAGAATCTTGTTTTAGAGAATATAAACAAATAAAAATATCCTTAGTTATGTCTTTTTACAAATACATAGTGGGTTGTTGTGCTGCATTAAAGAGACTAGTCAAATAAAAGTAGCTGTTCATATTCAAAATCATTAATGCATATTGTGGTTGTTGTGTTGTTCTATTCCATTAATGTTGGTGTATACATGCAAAATATTTTATAAAGTCATTCATTTGTTCTAGTTTCTGTTATTTGAACATCATTTGTATTCTACCCTCTCAGACACAACTTTTGTTCTTTATCAAAATTTTCAATGTTGATAAAATAGTGAACAAAAAAAGTAAAATATTGAGCACTCATAACATCACTGCTAATTTCTTAAACTATGTTAATTAAATATAAGTTTTTAAATATTTAAAAAAATTTTCAGTGTTGATAAAATAATGAACAAAAAAAGTGAAAAATCAAATACTCACCACGTTCTCGCCAATTTCTCACAAAGACATATTCTTAATATTCTACTTCCTTCTGAGCAAAATTCTAAGCAAAAAATTAATGAAGCTTTCATATCATCTTTATCAACACTACACCAGGTAAGGAAATATATTTATAGTTTGTTAGACTGCTGTTAAAATCTTTACATAATAGTCAAATTCTATTCTAATTTCACAGGCAGCTCGTGATGGGCAGTTAGAAATTGTTCAACAGTATTTAAAGTTGTATGGTAAAGATAAAAAGAAAGTAAATTTTAAAGATGAAGATGAAACCACCGCTCTTCATTATGCCGTCCGTTATAGTCATTTTCCAATTGTCAAAATTCTTGTTGAAAGTGGTGCAAGTAAGATATATTTTTTAAATAAATTTTGTAATTGAGTTTTTTTAGCCTAAATTACAAGCGTATTGGAAATATGCAGTGTTTTATAAGTATTAAATATATCAGCCCTTGAATTCAGCTATGCTGATCTAACAGCCGACCTGACATTATTGAGGCAAGTTTTTGCCAACCTCAGAATTTTAAAACTTAATTTTATTTGATATTTCAATTAATTAAAAATAGCAAAACAAACGTTTCATTTAAATTTTAGATAAAATAGTTTTTTTTTTTTTAATTTGAATTCATCTCCTGAAGGCCATGAAGGCCACTACAGTCAAGGAGGCTGCTTAAGTTGTGGTTACAACCCTCTCTCAAGTCAAACAAGGCCGCTGGAGAATCATGTTGAACGTGGTACTATCAGGGACGTTATTGAACTTGGAACTTCTCACTTATGAGGCTAGCACTCTACCACTACACCACTTAAACAGAGAAGACTACATCTGGATATATAACAAAATTGGAATAAAAAATCTATTTTTTTTGTCTTCTTGTGCCGGTCTGTAAATTCTGGTAGTTTATATGCTCTGTAAGGTGTGTTATATCTTGGAAAGAAAACATTTTCAGCATAAGTTTTTTACATTTTTTTTGTTCCGCTTGACAAGCTCTTTTGTATAACATATATATAAAATTTATGATATTTTTTTTTTTGTTTAATGCAATAAGTTTGACATCATGGGTTCTGGCCCCAAATGTAAAAATTTTTGGAACCAATTTTTTTCTTCCTAGGTTTTAACCTAAAGAACCAAGTTGAAAGCAAAAAAAATGCTTCTAACACGCATGTCCATACAAATTGCACAGTGACCCTCACTATTAATATTTTATGTCTCAAAATGAATTTTGTAATATAAATAACAGTTTCAACTATCTACTTTCAGTTTCTCTAGTAGTTTTTTAATTTTAAATTTAATTGAAGCATTTATAATCTTTTCATTTGTTGATGTAGCCACATTGATAAACACTTTTCTTAGTTAGTAAAATTTTATAAAAAATCACATTAATACTAATATTATAAAAATGTACTATTTAAAGTAAAATTAGTTAAAGGGTTTCCCAAGTGCCTAGACAAGTTGTATTCATATAATAGATAAATATTAGAAAAGAAGTTAAAAGTTAAATAAACTTTCCAAAACAAATTATTGAATGAGATATTAACATAATTTTTAATGCCATTTTGTTTTTTGTGAAGGAAAGTTCCGGCTCTTTGGCCATTTTTACTGGCTCTTTGACCATTTCCCCTTTAGCGATTAAACGAAAATATAAGATTCAAGTTTTCAATATCAATTTTACATATAACTGAAAAATATATATTATTAATTTTAAAAACGGTTTCTTGAGATAGAAATATTAATTATTATAAACATAAGTTAAAAAAATGTATAAGATCAAGCCTTCCCAGGAAAGGCATGCGGTTTTTTGTCTCGTATGACCACACGCGATTATGGTATTTTAGAAAACGTGAACACGGCCGTTTCCAAGTTTTACAATAATGTTAAAAAAATTTCAAAAACAAAAAAAAACAAAAACTAACAAAATAAAAAGAGATTAAAATAGAAAAAAATAAAAACAAATTAATAATTTAAATAATTTGTGTACTGTTTTTATTTTTGTTTCTAGGCGAAGCAAAAAAAAAAAAAACAGTTTGAAGTCTACAATAAAAAAAATGATTTTCCTTTTAATTTTTTTTAAGAGGATAGCAAAAATACAAATTGCAATGTGTTTGTAAAATTTATTTGTATAATTTTAATGTAACAACAAGGGTTGAATTAAGTGAATGCAAAACGCAAAATCTGGAAAAATATCTAGTATTCAAAATTTTAGTTTATACAAACCGTGTTCGTTGTTTTTAAGGGGAGAATCACCTAAATTTGTTAGCGAAAAAATAAAAAGTAAAACAATAAACTTGTGATTACAAAAGTAATATCACTCTAGTCACTAACTGCATTACAAAAGTAATAACACTATAATAGTGTTATTACTTTTATAACACACTTATAACTTTTAAAATTCATTCTTTGTTCAAGCAACATTAGTATTCCCAAATTTTAATTGAAGTAGAAAAATATCTAGAAGAATAAAGTGGATGTTTAAATAATTTTAAAACTAAAGTAACTTATAAAAACGTGACAAACAACTTTATGAAAATATATCGTATTAAAAGTTTAGCATTATAAAAAACGTTACTAATGGACCGTAAAAAAAAAAATTTTATTGGTTAATTTTAAAATTAACCAATAAAATTTTTTTATTGGTTGATTTTAAAATTAACACGCGTTTTTACGTAACGTTTTTCATAATGCTATACTTTTTATAAAGTACTTATATAGAAATAATAGAATAATATTTGAATATCCGCTTTATTTTTTCTAGATGCTTTTCTACTTTAATAAATGTTTGGAATTAATAATGTTGTTTGAACAAAGAATGAACTTTAAAAGTAATAAGTGCTTTATAAATGTAATAACACTTATAGTTTTATTACTTTTATAATGCAGTTAGTGGCTAAATTGTTATTACTTTTGTAGTCATAAGTTTATTGATTTTGTTTTGTTTTTTGTAACTTTCTCGCTAGCAAACTTTTAATAATTTGCTCCTTATAAAGAAAGTACACAGAACTAAAATTTTAAAGACCTAATATTTTACCAGAGTTTGCAAATTGCGATCGTATAATTTAACTCTTGATATAAACTTGTTACATTATAATTATACAAATATATTTTACAAACAGATGACGATACATATTTTCTCTTTCCTCTTTAAAATAAAAAACACATAAAATATGGGAAAGTCATCCTTTTTAACGCCTAAAACCGTTTTTTTTTTTTGCTTTGACTTAATGAATTTTGTTGCCGATAATAATAACCACTAAGAAATAAAATTTATTAAACTATTATTATTGTTTTCTATTTAAGTTTACTTTAATTTCTTATGTAGTTTTTTTTTTTTTTTTTTTTTTTTTTTTTTTTTTATTTGCATTCACTCCCAACAAGGCTGCAAGCAACCACTATTAAGTTGGGAGTTACTAGGAAAAAAAAAAAGAACAGAGTTATAGAGCAAGGAAACGGTTGACAGAAGACTTGAAAAGTTGAAGGTTGTATGAGTCAGGAAAACATGAAGATGGGAGAGAGTTCCAAAGGATTGAAGTGCGGGGAAAAAAACTAGATGAATAAAAGTTTTTAGAGCATGCAGGGACAGATACAGTAAACGAATGAGACTTAGCTGAATGACGAGTAAAACGAGAATGAATTTTAGTTGATGGAACTAGAGATGATAACTCCTTTGAGCAGTGACCATGATAGTATTTGTAGAAAAGAGAAAGAGATGCAACTTTACGACGATGGGAAAGAGGTTCAAGCTTAGCAGATAAGGCAGGTCCAACAACATTTACAATGCGTTTTTGGACCTTGTCAAGAAGAGAAAGTGAATCGTTAGAAGAACCAGCATAAATATGACAACAGTATTCCATACAGGGACGAGTAAGAGATTTGTAGAGGTAGAGAATGGAATCAGAAGTAAGGAAATGGCGAGCACGATAAAGAGAAGCAACCTTTAGCAGAAGCTAATTTAGCAATCGATTGTATATATGGTTTCCATGAAAGGTCAGTAGTAAGCAATAATCCAAGAAGACGTAAAGAGGAGGACTTAGTTATTAAATTAAAAACAATTTTTCAGTAACGCATATAATAAAACTTGCGCAAAAGGCTGTGATAACGTTCTCTAACTTAAAAAACGTTTTTCGTCGTCGTACAAGACAAAAAACCGCACGTCTTTCCTGGGAAGGCTTGAAGATCATTTTTAAAACTGTTTCCTGAATTTTTTTTTAAAAATAATGATTTTTATATCTTTCAAAATTTAACTATACTAGATTATATTGTACTTAGTGTTGTATTTAAAAAAATTGATTACTTATTTTCTAAGAAAAATATTCATCTTGTATATTTTAAAGTTCGCTTCGCTTAATTACTTTTTTTATTATGCTAGTTTATTTTAACTCAAACACTTAACGATATGCTGAACAAAAAACAAAAACATGCTACAGTAAACATTTTTTACAACCACCACAGACTAAATATGAAAGAGAAAACTTAATTTGATTATGTAAAAATGAACTGAGTTTAAAAAACTCTGCGGTAAGCGAAAACATTACTGAAACCAGATATTTTTTTAGCAAAAAAAACTATGCAGATTTGAGAGCCTATAATTACCCTCTCAATCAGAAGTATAATTGCAAAACAACAAGTACTTTTGTTGATATCTCATTCAATAATTTGTTTTGGAAAGTTTAATTAAGTTTTAACTTATTTTCTAATGTTTGTCTATGACATGAATACAGCTTGTCTCTGCACTTGGGGATTCCTTTAATGAAAAAAAGGGACATTGACACAGGCTTGGACAGAAATAACGTGTGATCGAACACTATTGCTGACCAGGCATATGAGTTTTTTTTTTGATAGTTTGACTACAACTGTTATGATGTTTTGATGACATTTAAACATTTCAGAAATGCGCTGAAAAAGAAATGCTAAGCTAAACTTGAACTAGGAAGAAAGTTATTTAAAAAAATAAAAAATTAAAAAAAAAAATAAAATAATTCCTTACGAAAAAAAAAAATATATCAGCTCTAAAATAAAACTGAAAAACTCAAACTCCAAGCGAAAATTACTTTTTTTTTTCTTTTTTAAATTGCATTTAAAATAAATTCTTTGATTGCTTGGAGGGGACATTTGAGCTTGAAAAGGATCTCACTTCTGCTAAAGCACGGGGCTCAAAGTGGCTGGTAAACTTTAGTTCAGATAAAACCAGGCTTGGTCGGGAAGCAGGTGCGATCCCATTCAATAATTGACCACGGAAATATTATTTAGTTGCGAAAAACTGGCCAGATTTTTTAGTCGTTTTGAGAACATTTCAAAAACAAACAAAAAAGCGCAATAAGATTAACTGGACCGATGAGAGACAGTTAAAAAAAG